ACACCTCATTCTCTCTTTGGAATTAATGTTTGAAATGAGATTAATTGGCTTTGAGAAACCTCCAGACATTGTTGAAAGTGAATAAATGTATTCCTGGCTCAACCTGGTTGGCTATAAATGAGCATCATTGCTGGCAGTAAGGCTGCTCTGCCAATGCCACAGATTGATTATATGCATTGTTTCCTTTCTTAGAACTGCAAATTAAAATTTCTTAATCTTTTTTTGTTTGGTTTTTTTCTTTTTTTAAAAGATTTATTTTTATTGGAAGTAAGATATATATAGAGAGGAAGAGGGACAGAGAGGAAGATCTTCTGTCCAGTGATTCACTCCCCAAGTGACTGCAATGGCTAGAGCTGAGCCAGTCTAAAGTCCAGAGTCCTCTGGGTCTCCCATGCTAGTGCAGGGTCCCCAGGTTTTTGGCCGTCCTAATGCTTTCCCAGGGCAGAAGCAGGAAACTGAATGGGAAGCAGGGCTGCCAGGATTAGAACTGGTGCCTATATAGGATCCTGGTGCGTTCAGGTTGAGGACTTTAACCACTAGGCCACGCCGCCAGACCCCTAATTTTTTTTTTTAAAGATTTATCTTTATTGGAAAGGCAGACTTAGAGAGAAGGAGAGACAGAGAGAAAAACCTTCCTTTCATCTGCTACTTCACTCACCAAGCGGCCACAACCGCCAGAACTGAGCCAATCCAAAACCAGGAGCCTGGAATCTCTTTCAGGTCTCCCACATGGGTGCAGGGTCCCAAGTCCTTGGGTCATCCTCAACTGCTTTCTCAGGCCACAGGCTTCCTGGGAAGCGGGACTGCTGGGATTAGAACCAGCACCCATATGGGATCACGGTACATTCAAGGCGAGGACTTTAACCGTTACACTATCGTACCGGGCCCATTAGAAACAAATCTTAAAGGAAAACAAATATATATGTAAATTTTTACTCTATGAACATCTCTAACTCTCACTTGGAAATCAGTCTTCAAGATGAAAAAAGGTTCTTGCAAAAACATTTTAATTGCCAGCAATATTATTACTATTAAAAATATGGATTAATTTCACAAAGAAATCACATACTGCCTTTATAGCTGTTCTCTTGCTGTTGCAGTAGATAGTGTAGGATCCCAGTTAGGCTTGGATACATCTGTGTGTTTGTTTTTACTTGCACAGTAGATAGGCAGATCCCATCTGCCAGTTCACTCTCCCCTCAAAAGGTGAGGCTGATGGGTGTCAGAGCCAGGCGTCTTGGCCCTCACTGAGGTTTCTCATTGACAGGAATCTGATTACTTGAATCTTCACTGTTGGCCTCCCAGAGTGTGCACTGACAGGAAGCTACAATAAGGAACTAGAGCTGGGAATCGAATTCAGGAGTTCTGTTGTGAGATCATCTTAGTCACTAGACCAAATACCTATTCCTTGTTGTATCTTTGTGTTATTTTCATTTTACTTAAACAACAGAGAGACAGGAATCTTGTTCCCTCCACCCCACTCCACCCTAAATTCCCACAACTGCCATCACTGGACCAAAGCTAAGCTAAGCCTCGAACTCAGTTTTGGTTTCCCATCATCTGCTTTCTTCATAGGATTCACATTGGCAAGGAAGCAGAGTTGGAATTGAAACCAGTTATTCCACTGAACCCAGGAGCCTCGGCCTCTCAAGCGGGTGCAGGGTCCCAAGGCTTTGGGCCATCTTTGACTGCTTTCCCAGGCCACAAGCAGGGAGCTGGATGGGAAGTGGGGCTGCTGGGATTAGAACCAGTGCCCATATGGGACCCCAGCGCATGCAAGGCAAGGACTTTAGCCTCTAGGCTATCACACCAGGACTCCTAGAGGCCTTTGAAGGGCAACACTAAATGTCCCCCACCCTACCCCTTAATTGTTCAGGGGACTCAAGGTACATGGGCATCTCTTGCAGAGCTGGATGTGGGCCTGGCTCCTAGCTGGAATTCTCTTGGATTCTGCAAGTGAAAAATTGTAAGGAAAGGGGACATTTTCTTCTTAGATAATTTACAGTTTTTGATGACACCAGAATCACTGTACATGTGAATAACAAAGGGTAGTTTGTCTTTTGTTTGCTGGCTCTGGGCCATGCCACTGTTGTTCCTAGAGGGATGCCCTATAGGAATTAGGCTATCTGTGGTATGGTATGATGGAAGTGATGCTGGTTTGTTGGGAAGTAAGAGGAGGGAAATTGTTGGTTCACTGCACCTTGAGCAGCTTCGTACAATGAAGAACTCTTTACCAGTGAGAAGAGCATGTTTCCATTTTCCTGTGCTCGTGTGCTTAGTAAAGCATAAAGTGCAAGGCTTTGAATTTGGACCGTTACTTACAGAATGCACCATACACACAACCCTCCACAGTTTCATAGGCTGATTTTCATGAGCTGAGGTTGCATCATTTAAACAAAACTGACAAAAATCCCATCCATCCTGGCCTTTAAAATCTGCAGAGGGAGACAAAATAAAAAAATTGATAAAATGGGTAATGTCTCAGATGGCAATGTGAGTAGAAAAGAGAGTAAAGGAGTCTTTGAATAGGTTTGGGATTCAGATAGGGTTAAGTCAAACAAAGCTGTGACTGTGACATTTGAATAATGACCTGAAGAAGCTGAGTGAAGGAGCCATTGTTTCAGATTGAGAACAGGAGTGGCCCAATCTGTAATGCAGGAGTGTGCTGGTGTGCATGGCAAGGTAGGGGACATGATGTGCTGCATGACTAAAGCAAAGTAATTGAGGGGCAGTTGCCTTGCTGGAGGTTGGAGAGGTGGTGAGGGCCACACACAGCCCTTTTGGCTTTTAATTGATTGATTTGGGACCACTCAAGGACTCTGAGGAGAATGTGACAGAGTGTGGTTTAGGTTTTGTGATTTCTTTCCCAAAATGATTTTTCCATAATGACTTTTTAAAAGTCAGCTGCTGTATTTCCACCAATGGAATATGGAGTAGTATGTTTTCATATGCCCTTGCAGCATAGTATTAATTTTTATCCATTTGCAAAATGGAAAGTAATACTTTATTATCTTAATTTGTATTTGGTTAATTTATTTTATTTGGAAGGCAGAGCTATAGAGAGGGAAGTCTTCCATCTTCTGATTTACTCACCAATATAGCATAGCTGAGGATGGGCCAGGTGGAAACTGGCAGCTAGGAGCCTCTTCTGAGTTTCCCATGTGGATGTGCAGGCCCAAACGCTTGCACCATCTTCCCCTGCTTTCCTGGACATTAACAGGTTTCTGGTTTGCAAGTAGAGCATCCAGGACTGAAAGTGGTGTCCATATGGATGCCTAGAGTCAAAGCAGTGGCTTAAATCACATGGCCATAGCACCAACCTTGTATTTCCTAATTTTGTTGCTTTTCTTTTCATGTTCTTTGACTGTAAAAATTCCATCTTTGTAAAATTTCATAGAGCCTCTTTGAATTTTAGTGAAATGATCATTTTCCCACCATTTTGAGTTTATGAATTTTTAAAAGATTTATTTTTTTTTACTTGAAAAAGTTAGAGACAAAGGGGAAGGGGAAAGAGAGAAAGCTTCTGTCTACTGATTCACTCTCCAAAAGGCCACAATGGCCAGAGTTTGACTGGTCCAAAGCTGGGAGCCAGGAGCTTCTTCCAGGTCTTCCCACAAGGATGCAGAAGCTCAAGGATTTGGGCCATCCTCCATTGCTTTCTCAGACCACAAGCAGGGAGCTGGATTGGAAGTGGAGCAGCTGATACATGAGCTGTTACCTATAGGGGTTGCCTTTGGCAGGTAAAGCCGCCACCTAGGTGCCAGTTCAAGCCCCTGTTGAACCATTTCCTTTGAATCCAGCTCCCTGCTGGGAAAGCAGTGGAGAATAACCCAAGTACATGGGCCCATGTACCCTCCTGGGAGACCTGCGTGAAACTTCTGGCTCTTAGCTTTGGACTGTCCAGCTCTGGCCATTGCAGCCATTTGGGGAGTGAATCATTGGATGGGAGATCTCTCTGTCTCTCCTTCTCTCTCTCTCTCTCTCTCTTTTTCTCTCTCTCTCATGTTACCTTTCAAAAGAAAAAAAAAAGATGAAATCTTTAAGTAAAAAAAATGGTAACTTATGTGGGGCAGGCTGTTCAAAAATAAGTTTGCTGTTTGGCATATATAAAAGAAAACGAAAAAATAGGTGAAAAAGTTAGAGGAATTAGTGTGGTGTAGAATATTAGGAAGTGAAATAATGTCCACTTTCTCAGTTATATGTCTATTAAATTTCTACTTTAAATAGAACTCTTTTTTTTTTTTAAGTTTTACTTATTTTTATTGGAAAGTCAGAATTACAGAGAGAGAAGAGACAGAAAGATCTTCCATCCATTGATTCACTCCATAAGTGACCACAGTGGCCAGAGCTGATCCAATTTGAAGCCAGGAGCTGCTTCTGTGTCTCTCACGCAGGTGCAGGGTCCCAAGAATTTAGGGACTTTGGACCATCCTCTACTGCCTTCCCAAGCCACAAGCAGGGAGCTGGAAGGGAAGTGGAGCAGCCAGAATACGGACTGTGCCCATATGGGATCCCAGTAGTTGCAAGGCGAGAACTTTAGCCACTAGGCTACCTCACTGGGCCCTTAAATAGAACTTACTTTAGTCTTAACTTTTAGTACAGAAAAATACTTTCTGAACCTGTCTCTTTTTATGTATAATATAAAGTTTATGAACTGAAAATGCATTCGTATAATGCTATCAAGCTTCTGTTTACTAATGCTTGCTTTGGCCAGTACATAAATCATTAGCCTTCCTTGCACCAAAAGATTGCCTTGTGACTGACCAGTCTTGCCTTTTACAGTGTGTGTATTAATACAAATATATCCCCATTTGACTCCTTGGTCATACTGGGACCAGAATTTAGGTCTTCTGTTTTTACCTCAGATATTTAGATTTTGGTTATATTTGAGTTGTAGTCTTTCATAGTGGATACAAAACAAAAACATAATCTTTGTAGGGTGGACCTTTGTGGGGAGTGTCCCAGGGTGTGACTTTAATTCCTCAGAGTTTCCGTTATAGGACTGGCTGGACAGTGGCCCAGAACAAGCTATTCAACAAGACCCTCAAAGCCCTGCAGTGTGACCGGCTTGCCCGCCTGGCCAATGAAGGGGTAAGATACCGGAATCTGCCCACGGTGGGCTCTTCCTGGCTCAGGCCTCACTGGCTGACTCACTTATCCTTCCCATAACCAAGTGATTCCTGTGTTTCATCACTTCCACTTATCTTTCAGGCTTGTAATGAGCCAGTGCTGCGCCGTGTTGCCGTGGACAAGTGTGCAAGGAGAGTACGACAGGCCCTGGCAAGTGTAAGCTGGGACACCAAGCTGATCCAGTGGCTACATACTACCCTCGTGGAGACCTTGAGTCTGCCCATGCTGGCAGCCTACCTGGATGCTTTGCAGACGCTGAAAGGGAAGGTATGGCTGTGGTTGGTACCTGCCCTGTCCTAGTGATAGCCAGTTTCTTCTTCAGTGGGTTCAAGATGTGGATTGGATAAAGTCACTGCCTGTCCAGCCTGGATGATACATCTAGAACCTACAGGCTCAGTATTGGATAGGAGGCAGAATGTCATCTCAGGTGAGTGTCTTCAGCCCTACCATCTCCAGGATGAGCTGTGGATCTAAAAATCAGAGTTATTGTAGCCTTGCAGCTGTGGCTTGAGTCATTGCGGAGTCAGATTGTCCCAGGGAAGATGCAGGCTCATTAGCGAGGGTATGTGAATGGTGTAGGAAGCCAGCATACAGTGCTAAGTGCCGAGGGATTACAGAATAGGGCAGTGAGTTTCTGGTCTCCATTACAGGATGAGTCTTCAGGAGCACCACTTGGGCTCTAATAACTTGTTAGAAATATATCATGATGTTTCCCTGCTTTCTTGGTTTTGCACAGTAATGCCTTTAGGGCTTGCTGTCATGTTGGGGTCCAGGTTAGGCTGTCCTCGTAGAGAAACGGTGCAGGTTCTGGCTGATTCGATTTTTTTCACTGATCATCTGTGTGAACTCAGCCTAGATTCTCCTTGATTCTCCTCTAAAATGAGGCTGATGATAATACCTATTTAACAGTTTTAAGAAAATTTAATTAATTAATATAAGTAGAGTGTTGGGCACAACATTGAACATGTAATAAACCTAATCAAAACTGTTAATGATCTGTAATAGCTTCCTCAAAGCATCTGGAAATATTTGTACATTTTGCTCCAATGTAAACTAGCTGTGGACAACTTGAATTAACAGCTTTTTCTTTAACAGATAAACTTTTTGTATGAAAATTTATTTTTATTTATTTTGAAAAACAGTGTTAGAGAAAGAGATCTTCCAGTCACTGGTTCACTCCCCAAATAGCCACAGCACTCAGGGATGCCTCATACTGAAGTAAGGAGCCTGGAGCTTCTTCCGGGACTCCCGTGCGGGTGCAGGGGCCCAAGGACCAGGGCTGTCCTCCAGCTTTCCCAGGGCATTAGCAGAGAGCTGGGTGAACAACCAGGTCTTGAAACAACTTCCACATGGGGTGTAGGTATTTCAGGTAGTGACTTTTTATCTGCTAGGCCACAACACCAGTCCCAGATTAATTCAGTTCTTGACTTTTTTTCATCAATAGTTTTTCCTTCTCTTTGGCAGGAAGCTGGCCTTTCTTGCTACTGTAAGTTGCCTGGCTGACTGCTTCCACCAGCTATATCCCCAGAATTTTTAGACATCACTTGGGACACTCCATTTCCAGTCCAGATTCCTGATAATGTGCACCTTGGGAGGAGTGGATAGTGGCTCAGGTGTTTGGATCCTTGCCACCCACAAGGGAATTCATTCCAGGTCTTCCATGTGGATGGCTTGAGTCTTTTTAACTAGCTCAAGATCCTCGTACTTCCTTACTAGCATCCCCACCTGTGCTTACAGTAAACTCCACACTCTCTCATCCCTTGCTGGTACCTATGACTAGAAAGTTATTCTCTCATCTCCTTCTGTTGGAGTCCTGCCTGTTCTAAAGAGCCTGTCTCACTTCACATGCTGTGCTTTATTTACTTTTAAATAATATGTATTTTTTTTTTCAGTTTTCTTTTATATTGCAAAATCAGATATATAGAGAGGAGAGAGACAGAAAGAGCTTCCATCTGATGATTCACTCCCCAATGGCCAGTGCTGTGTGCCGATCCAGGAGCCAGGAACTTCCTCCACATAGGTGCAGGGTCCCAAGGATTTGGCCTGTCCTTAACAGCTTTCCCAGGCCACAAGCAGGGAGCTGGATGGGAAATGGAACTGCCGGGATTAGAACCGGCACCCATATGGGATCCTGGAAGGCGAGGACTTTAGCCGCTAGGCCACGCCGCCAGGCCCACATGCTGTGCTTTAGATGAAAATTAGCTGTGAAATCTTTTTTGTTCTGGACAGTTTGTGTTAGCAGTGTATTTCACTTCCTTTCATGGCAGTTGTCAGCTTTTCCGCAATGTTACCCTAGAGTTTAACTTTTTTTTTTGAAAAAATGGGGTTTTTTTGAGATTTATTTTTATTTGAAAGGTAGAATTCTATACATAGAGAGAGATTGCCATCCACTGATTCATTTCGCTGATGGTCACAATAACCGGAGCTAAGTCAAAACAAAGCCAGGAGCTTCTGAATGTCACTTGTGGGTGCAGGGGCTCAAGGACTGGCCATCCCATTGCTTTCCTAGGCCATAAACAAGGAGTATGATTGGAAGTGGAGCAGCCAGGACTCAGACTGATGCCCATACATGATGCCATTGCCACAGGCTGGAACTTATCCAACTATGCCATGGCACACCAGCCCCCTGTGTGTTTGTTTTTATTGTCATTTGTAGATTAAATATATCTATAGTACTAGCGTGGTGCCTATATCTACAGCGTTTTGTTGTTGAGATTTCATTATTATTTTTAAGGCAGAGTTACAGAAAGGGAGAGACACAGAAACGGGTCTTCCATGTACTGATTTATTCCACACATGGCTTCACAAGCCAGGTCTGGGCCAGGCCAAAGGAAGGAGCTTAGAACTCTACCTGGATCTTCCACTTGTGGTAGGCACCCAAGTACTTGGGCCATGTTTTACTGTGGAGGTGCGTTAGGAGGAAGCTGGGTTGAAAGTGGAGCAGTTGGCAGTCATCGGTGCTTATGTCGGATTCTAGCATCCAGGCAGTGACTTAACACACTGTGCCACAATGCAGGCTCCAGCAGCTCTTGCCTAAACATTTGCTTCATGGGTTAAACTGAGAGCATAGTTACAATCTCTTAGTCTCTCCTGTGGAAATCTTTTTTAGTGTCTTCTAAAATTGAAGCAGCTTATCTTTTTTGAGCTCTTACAGCCTGTGTTAAACTATAGTACTCTTTTATTTTCCTGTTTCACAAAAGTGTCTTTTGCTTTTCTGAAAATCATTTCTAATTAATTAAATTTTCTCTATATCACTGTGACGTTTTGTGGGTAGAATGAATTTCACAAGGTGTTTCAGTGAAGACATCAGCGTGTGAAACCTTTATTTATTTATTTATTTAAGATTTATTTATTTTTTATTACAAAGTCAGATATACAAAGAGGAGGAGAGACAGAGAGGAAGATCTTTCGTCCGATGATTCACTCCCCAAAGTGAGCGCAACAGCTGGTGCTATGCCGATCCGAAGCCAGGATCCAGGAACTTCTTCCGGGTCTCCCACACAGGTGCAGGGTCCCAAAGCTTTGGGCCGTCCTCGACTGCTTTCCCAGGCCACAAGCAGGGAGCTGGATGGGAAGTGGAGCTGCTGGGATTAGAACCGGCACCCATATGGGATCCTGGCGCGTTCAAGGCGAGGACTTTAGCTGCTAGGCCACGCCGCCAGGCCCTGAAACCTATATTTATATACCTATGAAATCACATTTTTAATGAATAGCAAAACTAGATCTGGCATAAATTACAGTATAGTAGGATGCATTTCTGGATACAGTAATACATTTTTTTTTAAAAAAAAGATTTATTTTTATTGGGAATTCAGATATACAGAGAGGAGGAGAGACAGAGGAAGATCTTCCATCTGATGATTCACTCCCCATGTGGCTGCAATGGCTAGAGTTGAGCCCATTTGAAGCCAGCAGCCAAAAGTCTTCCAGGTCTCCCACATGGGTGCAGAGTCCCACGGCTTTGGGCCATCCTTGACTGCTTTCCTAGGCCAGAAGCAGGGAGCTGGATGGGAAGCAGGGCTGCTAGGTGGGAAATAGGGCTGCCAGGGAAGCAGGGCTCCCACACAAAACAAGGATGCAGATCCTCAGACCAGGCGCTAACAACTCCACATCCAGAGAAAAGTTCAGCGCCCAAGCCACTTTCAGCTACCATGGAAAACCACTGCTCTGGCAGCACATATGCCTGAAAGTGTATGTGATCCCTGGGGAACTGAGTGTGTTGGTGAATGGCAACATTCGAAAAGGGCAGCACAGGTCTTCCAGTGCCAAAATGGGATCCTGGTGCATGTAAGGTGAGGACTTTAGCCACTAGGCTACTGCACCAGGCACAGTAACAGATTTCTTTAACATGCTAAACTTGAAAGCAGTTCTGTAGGTAAAAAGGCAGGGGTTCTTTTTTTGGTTTTTTGTTTTTGTTTTTAGTTAGTGATGATCATTGAGAAAATTTACAAGATACAGAAACCTATAATTAAAAATTTCACCTATCACTATTAACATTTTTTTATCCTTTTTTTCTGAGTGTAAATAATTTTATTTTGTTTTATCCAACATTTTAGCAAAATTGCTTCTGTATGTTATTAATGAATTCTTACAAGCATTTGAAAGTGATCCTTAATTTATAGTTAGATGGGTGCAATCACAGTGACTCAGCTGGCTAATCCTCTGCCTACAAGTGTTGGCATCCCATGTGGGTACAGTTTGTGTCTCAGTTACTTTCAGTCCAGCTCCCTGGTTGTGGCTGGGAAGATAGTAGATGACGACCCAAAGCCTTGAACCTTGCACACACACATGTGGGAGACCCAGAAAAAGCTCCTGACTTCGGATAGGCTTAGCTTTGGCCATTGTCGCCATCTGAGGAGTGAACCAGTGGATGGATCTTTCTCTGTCTCTTCTCTGTATAACCTGCCTTCCCAATAAAAATTAATATTTGAATAAACAAAAAAAGATATATATATATATTTTCTTCAAGTAGATGGATAATTTGCCTTAACTACTCTGTTACATATACATTTAGATTTCTTCAGCGTTTTGTATTATTGGTGATGAATTCAGAGTCTATGTAATTTTACCCTGGTGTATTTGTGTTTTTAAGATTTATTTGCTTATTTTTGTTTCATTAAAAACAGAGTTACAGAGAGAGATTCCATCTTGTATCATTCCCCAGTTGGCCTCAGTGGCTGGAACTGGGCCAGCCAAGAACTTAATCTGGATCTCCCATATCAGTGGCAGGAGCTCAAGTACTTGGGCCATAGTCCACTATTTTCCCCCCAAGACTGAAATTGATCCTCATATTGGACAGCAGTGTTGTGGTTTAACTTACTGTTCCATAATGCTGGCTTGTGTGTGTGTATGTGTGTGTTTGCTTGTTTGTTTCTTCCTTCCTTCATTTCCTAGGAAAAGATGGTAGAAGTGGAATCTCGCATTTATACCACTAGATTACTTTGCAAAATATTACAGCCATGTACTTTTCATGGCGGGAACATGCTTTTCAGAGGAGTGTTTATTTGTACTTTTGCTTCCAAGGAAGGCTTACAAGACTTAGCTTAAGTCTTTTATGGCTTATGATGGCTCTTTCTCCTAAGAGCCTGATTGTTGGTGGTGGGAAAGTCTCATTTCACAACACAAGTGTTGCCATTCTAGCTTCCAGATATTTCCAATTTCCTAGAGCAGTTACTGGCTGACTCCCAGCAACCCTGGGAACAACGAGTATGGGAAACAGCCTCCTTCTCACACTCCTATCTTTCACACTCAGCTGGACCAGATTAATCAGAAAACTTGGGGTTTGGATGTGTCTGGGACATGTATACAAACTGAAAGATGCACAAATGAAAAACAATAAAGAAGGGCTTCCTTGACATTCTGGAAAGGGGCTGCACAGGAACACAACAGCATCTTTGTTCTTCCTTCATCCTAGATCCCAACCTTGATTGACCGAATGCTTGTGTCTTCCAACACAAAGACTGGGGCTGCGGGAGCTGAGGCCTTGTCCCTTCTCCTCAAGCGGCCATGGGACCCTGCCATCGGGGTGCTTTCTCACAACAAACCAGTAAGTTGGACAGCTCACAACTAAACTGGCAAATGGTGTTTTATACTGAAACCTTAGAACTTTGGCAGGAAGATAACAGATGCCTTATCTAATCCTTTTTTTGTTATGTGTTTTTTACTTTATAACTTGTTTTATGTAGTGCTGAACCCAGTTTCATAAACAAAGGGTTCTTGGTTAGAATGAGAAAGATACAGTCCTTGGATTTTGTGGAAGAGCACTTTACAATCACGAATTTGTGGGCGTTTTTGTTTGTTTGTTTGTTTTTTGTTTTTTTCCCCCACAGAGCAAACTCCCAGGCTCTCCTCTGATCCTCATCGCCTCCTCGGGCCCCTCCAGCTCTGTGTTCCCCACCTCACGTCGTCACCGCTTCTGGCAGTCTCAGCTCTCCTGCTTAGGCAAGGTATGTGTGAGAGCAATAGGAGCTCTCTCCTGGATGGGGAGATAGCCTTGTAAGATTATTTAAGAGAAAAAGTGCTGAAGGAGGTCAGAGTAGATGAACTCATGTGTGAGGCATTCTTGCCTTCTTGTATTTGATAATCAAATGATACTTTTCAGGGTTGAAGGGATTTTAGAGTGGATTAAGCAGAATTGTGAGATTTGAAGCTTAGCTCTGCTGGCTTTTCTCCTCCAGGTCATCCCTGTAGCCACTCATCTGTTGAACAATGGCAGTGGGGTAGGAGTTCTGCAGTGTCTTGAGCATATGATTGGAGCAGTGAGAAGCAAAGTGCTGGAGGTGAGAATGCCCCCACTTTAGTTCATTGGCACGGCCATCCTTCTGGGCTTGTTCTCCATCCATCTGGGCCCTTAACCTAACTGTCTTCTTTCTTTTCCCATAAAGATTCACAGCCATTTTCCACATAAACCAATTATCTTGATTGGTTGGAACACAGGAGCTTTGGTGGCCTGTCACGTAAGTAATTTCCATCTTATTTGAGGGTTGTTGAGAAACTGGACATTGTCCTAGGATCAGCTGTTACTGCTGCCAGTGCTGCTACTGCTACTGTGACTGCTACATGGATTGCTCCATTGAGGCCTTTGCTGTGCGGCAGACACTGAGCTAGATGCTTTCCTTTTATGATTGCATTGTAGATTGGGGAAGACAAAGTTTAGTGTAACTTTATTGTGGAAAGTTTTAGGCAGAAACAAAAGCAGGGAGAGTAAAGCAGTGTAATAAATCCCTTGGGCCTTTGGCTTAGATTGACAGATGATTAGTTCTTGCACTCCAGGCTTGTTTCACCTTACCCCTGGTGGATTTCTCTTTTCCCTCAGATTATTTTAATGAAAATCACAAGTATATAATTTCATTTATGTGCATTTCAGAATGTGTTACTAAAATAAATTCCTTGTTCTCTGAATGTAAGTACCATACTATTTTCCACCTAAAAATTAACAAAGAATTTTCAGAGGTAAAAATTAATAGCTCTGGAATTTGCTGTTGTGTTCCTGTGCCCTTCTTTATTGTTTTTCATTTGTGCATCTTTCAGTTTGTATACATGTCCCAGACACATCCAAACCCCAAGTTTTCTGATTGATTTGGTCCAGCTGAGTGTGAAAGATAGGAGTGTGAGAAGGAGGCTGTTTCCCATACTCGTTGTTCCCAGGGTTGCTGGGAGTCAGCCAGTAACTGCTCTAGGAAATTGGAAATATCTGGAAGCTAGAATGGCAACGTTTGTGTTGTCTTGTTTATATTTAGCACTCATGAAGAGAAAGGGAGCAGAATGCTTTCAACTGAGGGGCCTGACAGGGTAGCACTATCAGACCTCTCAAACAGATTCAGCCATCTGCCAGGATACTCTTGGGATTTTATTTACCAAGGTGTGGGCTGCTTTGGAAAGATGGTGGTCTCTCTGATCTTCCTGCTGAGTTAGAACAGGAGAGGAGAGAGGGTAGAACAGGTTGGGAGATCTAGGTCCTTCCTGGATTCTGAGTAGGCTAACAGTAAAAATCGGTTGTCCTTTAGACAAGCCATGCTGTTTTTGACAGGTGTCGGTGATGGAGTGTGTCACTGCAGTTGTCTGCCTTGGGTTTCCTCTCCTCACTGTGGATGGCCCCAGAGGGGTAAGAATGGGGCGAAGCTGACTGCTGGGTCCTTGGCCATGGGAGTGGGGGCATGTGTGCCTCGTCCACACCAGTATGGAGGCACCTGCAGTTGCACGCTGACTTACTGATTCCCGAGTAGAGTCCAGGTCAGTGCTTTGTGAGTTTGAGCTGGCTGAATCTAAAACCTGAACTTTTTCTAGGATGTGGATGATCCACTTTTGGATATGAAGACTCCAGTCCTCTTTGTCATTGGTCAGAATTCCCTGCAGTGTCACCCTGAAGCCATGGAGGACTTCCGGGAGAAGATTCGGGCTGAGAACAGCTTGGTGGTGGTTGGAGGCGCTGATGACAATCTCAGGTGAGTGGTTTCTGCCAGAGGCATAGGAGTACCATGTCACAGGTTAGAGAAATGCTGTGTGACAGCAAGATAGCTAGACTAATCTTGTTCAGTTCTGAGTGAAAAGGAAATATTAATTTTTACATTGTTAATTAATTTTAGATTTGTAAGAGGTTGAAATAGTACAGAACATGTTCATAACACCTTTCAGCTGAGTTTTCTGTATGCTAACATGTTATATAACCAAAGTATAATTCTCAAAATCAACATGGGTGTGAAATGTTAATCTACAGACTCGGATGTTTCGCTAATGACCTTTTCCTAGCTCTGAACTCAATCCAGGACCACACATTACATTAAATAACATGATTTCTCTGTTTTGTTTAATTTCATGCACTTTATCCATCTTTCTTTCATGACTGTGACATTCTTGAAGATTGCTGACCAATAGTTTTGTGCACTGCCCCTCAATTGAAGTTTTTGAGATTATTATGATTATGGTGAGGTGTGAATTTTTGGTCAGAGTGCCTCAGAGATGTTATAAATTTCCCCATATGTCCCATCAGGGGATACCTGTAGGTGCTGTCTTATCACTGCTGATAATAACCTGGATTACACGGTTATGGTATTCTGCCAAGTTCTCCACTGTAAAATTACTACTTTTCTCTTTGTAACTAGTAGTTATTTTGTGGTGAGAAAATCCTTTGAGATCATAAGCATGTTCTTTGTCATACTTTGGTTAGGATAGACATGTACAATTAAAGTAATTTTCACAATTATTTTTATTGTTTTGAGGGGGAGAGACAGAGCTCCCATCCACTCGTTCATTCCCCAAATGTCTGCAGCAGCTGGGGCTGAGCCAGGCAGAAGACTAGAATCAGGAACTCAATGGGGTTTGCCATAGAGATGGCAGGAACCCAAATATTGCTGTACCCCAGAGTACATATCGATAGGAACCTGGATTCCGAAGTGGGACCAGGCTTTCAACCCAGGCACTCCATATGGGAGGTAGTGTCCCAAGCGAGGCTAAAATTGCTACACCAAGTGTTCTCCCTGGCCTTTGAAAGCTCTTTGAAAAACAGTTATGGAGCAGTTCACTCCAAATAGCTGCAGAAGCCAGGTCTGGGGCAGGTCAAGCAAAATCAAGACCCAGACCCAGGTTCTTAGGCCATCTTCTGCTGCCCTCTCAGATGCTTAGGTAAGAGCTGGACTGGAAGCTTGAAGCTGGAACTCAAACTGGCACCACAGTAAGGGCTGCCTGTAGTCCTGGCACCTCGAGCCTTCTTTTTTATAGTTCAGTTTTAGAGGTTAATTTCAGGTGTATGTTCTGCCTAGAGTGCTTAAAGCAGTTGCAGCAAATTGTCTCTGTTTTGTCAGCAAGTTTTGGAAAAATCATTCTGACTTTGTCATTTACCAGCTTGTTAGGAATTTAGTATCTGGTCTTTTGATACTCAAGCCAGTCTTTTTGTGTAAATGCTTGTTTTTCATGATGATTGAGACTTTATTTTCTGAATGTTGAATATGACACCATTGGGGGATACTGCCTCAAAGTATTCCTACTGTGGGGACGTGGTCCATTCATTAAGAAAATCCCAGGCAAAATACATTTTTGAAGTAACACTGTTCCATAGTAGACTGTGTTGAGTTGCTGTGAGGGAATGGGGGCAAGATGAGAGTGCTGTTCTTGGGCTGAGAATTCAGAGTGCTCTTGCTTGGAGGCTTTGGTATGTTGCTTAGATTCTGCCACTCTCTGTAAAATGAAGATGTTCTGTAAGATCAGAAACCAGCATCCAGTCAATTCAGATGTCAGAATTTGGAGGCTTAGGAATGTTCCCCATCTTGTCACTTGGTGCTTTTTTTTTCTCTTCTGAGACACCCTCTCCTCCCCTCATAAGAAGCTAGGATCTTACTACTGATTTTTAAAGAAGCGAATGCAGCTGGCTGTTGTCATTTGCTCTTATCCATTTATTTATTATGTTTGTTTGCTTATAAAAAATTTATTCATTTGGAAGGCGGGTTACAGAGAGAAAGAGGGAGAGACAGGAATCTTTCATCTGCTTGTTCACTCCCCAAATGGCTGCAATGGCCTGAGCTAGGCCAGTCTGCAGTCAGGAGCAAGGAACTTTTTCTGGTCTCCCAAGTGGGTGGAAGGGCCCAAGCAATTGGACCATGCTCTATTGCTTTCCCAGACACATTGTCAGGAAGCTTGATCAGAAGTGGAGCAGGCAGGACTGAAACCAGCACCCATAAGGGATTCCGGTGCCTCAGAAAGTGCCTTTATCCACCGTGCCACAGTGCCAGGCCCGTCTTACCCTTTCAGACTGACTATAATCACCTTTTCTTTTCTCCTTCTCATCTAGTTCAGTAATCCTCCGTAATCTGAGGCTGTGAGACTGTTGGAGAACTCTAGATGAAGTCCTAATAATACACAGGTAGTGCTTATTGTGAAGCCCTAGGTTTGGATGTGGGCCTTCTAGAGTGGATCTTCATGGTCTTCACATTTGTTATTTGTTGTTCATAATGACATTATTCATTCACATTCTGTAAATGTGGCAACAGGTTCAGAGCTTAGCTCTGAGGGCTCCTATCAATCTTCCTTGGCCTAGAAAATAACCAGCGTGAATAAAAAGTCCATTTTTACTCTCATGGGATGCTTTGGATTTTTAAAAGGTAAATCATTGGGACTGGTGGCTTGGCATAGTAGCCTAAGCTTCCACCTACACTGCTAGCATCCCATGTGGGCACTGTCTCAAGTCTTGGTTGCTCCACTTCCAACCCAGCTCCCTGTGATTATGGTCTGGGAATGCAGCAAAGGATGGCTCAAGTCCTTGGGGCTTGAACCCATGAAACCCAGAAAAACCTACTGGTTTCTGGCTTCAGATTTAGATTGGTCCTGGCCATTATGGCTGTCTGTGAGGTGAACTGGCAGATGGAAGATCTTTCTCTCTGTTTTTCTCTTTCTGTTTCCTCTCAGTAACTTCATCTTCCAAGTAAAAATTCACAAATTCTCGGGCATGGTGTAATGGCTCAGTGGCTAAATCCTTGCTTTGCATGTGCTGAGATCCCTTATGGTCTCTGGTTCGTGTCCTGGTTGTTCTACTTCCCATCCAGCTCCCTGCTTGTGGCCTGGATAAAGGATGTCCCATAGCCTTGGGACCCTGCACCAACATGGGAGACCTGAAAGAAGCTCCTGGCTTTGGATTGGCTCAGCCCTGGCTGTTACAGCCATTTGGAGGATGAACCAGCAGACTGAAGATCTTTTTCTCTGTCTTTCCTTCTCTCTGTAAATCTGCCTTTCCAACAAAAATAAGTAAATCTCTCAATTTAAAAAATACATTTTTAAATAAAATTTTTTTAAAAGGTAACCATTAATGTCTTTTTGTCTCTTAGAATAAGCAAAGCAAAGAAGAAATCAGAAGGCTTGACTCAGAGCATGGTGGACAGATGTATTCAGGTAAACATGGTTTTCTGCTCTGGGCTCTCCGTTTTAGATTTAGCCTTCTTGTCAGCAGCTTAAAGAGTAATTGGGGCCACTGGTAGGTATAAAAAGGAAGCAAAGTAGAAGAAGAGAGTGGGAAGAAGAGTGGCAAGCTGAGGTGTGAGTGATGCATGGGGAGAAAGGGGCTGTTGGAAGAGTGGTAGAGTGCAGCATGGCTGCCCTAAGGGCAGTAAGTGTCCACTCTGTGTGAAGACCACTGTGTCTGGGTGCCAAAGCCAAGATGGAGTTGTTCTAGTTTGAAGTAATCAAGGAGGCTTCAGCTGTGATAGGCCTAACAGGTTGGGTTTACACTAGGATGAGATTGTGGACTTCCTGACGGGAGTGCTCACTCGCACTGAAGGCCCTGTGGGCTCTGAGCCTCGGGATTTGGATGCTGAGAAGAAGAAGAAGCCTCGTGATGTCGCCCGTCGGGACCTGGCCTTTGAAATTCCGGAGCGGGGCAGTCGGCCTGCCTCCCCTGCTGCCAAGCTGCCAGCCTCACCCTCAGGCTCAGAGGTAGTGGGCGTGAGCGAGGAGGCTGGGCGGGAGAATTTAGGCAGGGGAATCTGAACTGTAGAATTGGTTTCTGTCTGCCTTGTCAGTGCTGTGGGCCTGTGGTTTCTTATCAGCGGTGTTCCAGGGAACTGACCTCCACTTGTATCTTGACCTTCTCACCCTACTTAGGATCTTTCCAGTGTGTCCAGCAGTCCCACCTCCAGTCCCAAGACCAAAGTGACCACAGTCCCCTCTGCCCAGAAGTCTAGTCAGATTGGCAGCTCTCAGCTGCTGAAGAGACACGTGCAGCGGACAGAGGCTGTGCTGACCCACAAACAAGCCCAAGGTAAAGGGTGGGTCAGTGGCCCTTTGGAGTTCAGTCTTGTGCAATTGATGCCACAAGGCAGCTGGGATATATAGGCATCAGACTGTCTCAGGGGTAAGAGGTGCTTTTCCTCCACATTTCTGTCTAGGCAAAGTTAAGTTGAAGTCCAAAGAGCTATGTATTATTAATAGGGTGTTTAACAGCTTTTCTGTCTTGGTGTTCTGGAGAGATTGGGCTTTATGAGCTGCCTACCTGTGTACCAGCCTAAACTCTTTTCTAACTACTAAGTGGGGTTGCTCTTTTTCTGCCTAATTCTGCCAATCATCCCTGCAGTCAGGGAGCTCTGAAATAGGGTGACTGATTTTATCCATCAGATTCCAAGACAATTCAACTCATGTCATGCCTTTTCTTTGTCTTGCTCTTAGAAAATAAAGATTCCCATACTAGGACCTCCAACAAAGTTTATTGTGGTTCTCTGCAGATAGGGTTGAGAGGGGACTAGAAAGTATTTGTATGTTTAGAATTTATTTGAAGAACTGCAGATTCTACGTAAAGGTAGTATTTTAATAAATAGAAATAAATAATAAATAAATAAGTAGAAAGGTGAAAAAACAGTGTTCTTCAGACAAGGTTTCTTGGGCATCAGTGTTTGATGATAGACCAAGAACTTGCCTGAGGGTCTTGGGAATAAGAATGTCGAACGAGGCAACAAGTGGAGCCACTGTAGAGCAGAGAGGTAGGGGCGATAGGAGACTGCTGTGCCAGCTACCCTGTGGGTTTTTTTTTTAAGAGGAGTTCAAGGGCCAGAACTTAACCCAGGCCTCTTGTGAGGCTGCTTCTAACAGTGGTGTTAACGGAGAAGAAAAGTATGAGTGGATGGGTAAAGGCAAACCAGAGGCCAGTGCCCTGCATCTCATATGGATGCTCTGTGAGTTGGATCTTCTTGCGTAGTGGTCAGAGCCAAGTTCTGAGTGGACTGTGACTCCTTGTACTTTTGATGAAGATCCAGTGACCAGTTGTGTCTGAAGGACATGATTGATTGAGAATCTAAGTTTTGGAAAGCCCATTGATGAACTGGATTTGCAACAGGACCCACAGCATTATGGGGAAAATTTGCCATGCAACACAATACTCAAGGCAGGCAAGGATTAGTAGTAGTTAAATTAGTGAGGCTCTTACTACACTTCTGTGCCCTCTTCTTAGGACTTAAATCTTGGTAACAGCCACATGTTACTATCTTCATAAAAAATTTCATCCTTATAGATGATTCCGTGGAACTGCTAATGGCAGAGTCAGGTTTCCGATCCATGCAGGATCAGAGAGCTCTTGTTGACTAAATCCTAGGAACTTTTTCATCTTTTTTCTTATTCCATGTCATTTTCTCCTTTCTCTGGCTGGCTGTGATTCTGTAATTCTTTCTGATTCATTCCAGCACAGTTTGCTGCTTTTCTGAAACAAAATATGCTGGTGAGGAAAGCTCTTCCTCCTGGCGCCTCCTCCTGTCTCTTTGGTGAGTATTGCTCTTTCTCTCACTTTTTTCGTCCTCTGCTTTCACCCTTAACCCCTTATATTTCTTTCCCATTTCTGCTTCTCATCTGCCTCTTAACATGTTTGGTTTCCTATTCTTTCTTCTGTGCAATTCTTTGTCTACAGGCTTATTTTTTGTGTCTCCATTCTTCCTGCTTGCTTCTTTCCATGTGTTGTCCTTTTCTTGTGTTGTGGTTCTCAGTTCTGCTTCTCCTTTACTTACCTGTGCCATTGATATGTGCCTTACTCCCCGCCTGACTTTTTGTTTCTGTCGTGGCAGCTGCAAGCACACGAGCACTCATCAACATAAATCCTGTAGATTCCTTGTCTCTCCCATTCCTTTCTGCTCTGATTTAGTGAGTGCAGTCATCCTTTAGAAGGTGCTGTCCCACATCAACTGCCTGTGTCCTGACTGTGGTCTCATGCCAGGACCGCTCATGCTTGTGGCTGCTACCTTTTCTCCCATCTCCACTCCTGCTTGCCTTTGTAAAGAAGAGGGGCTGGGGAACTTCTTGGTTGAAAGCTGAGGAAATTTGTGAGGAAGCCTGAAGGATAACTTCCAAGTCCAGAAAGCTGGGCTCCCAGCACCATGAGTGTGTAGTGTTATGTGTGAACAGATAGCCTTCCTGTATACTTATACAGATGTCCTAGGGACCCGGTTGTAACATGGACCACTGTTAACCCTGTTACGTTTGGACATAATCTTTGAGGTTGCCAGGGCCGGGAGCCTCCTGCAGCAGCCTAACGCCCTGGAGGTTGTCCTCCTTGCTCCCTGAGCCTCAGGCTCTTAGAACAGAGTGGGACTCCTCATAGCCATGTGGAAACTGTTAGGACTGGGTGGTCTGCTCCTCCTCCTGGGTTCTTCATAGGATGTTTGTATCTCCTGGCTGTGTGATGACATGGGGGAGGGCTTCGGATTGCAGAGTGATCACTGTTTAGTTCCATCGTGATGAGTCCCATCATTATTTTTCTTTTGGTGTTTGCTAGACAGACAGATGTCTTCTGTCTTGTTCCAAGCAACTCAGTGCTTCTTCCCTTTCCACTTAAATGCAGATTGAGGGATAAGGATGGGGCCATTCTCTGAGAAGGGCAAGGTGGGCTTCTGTTCGGGGGGTGCTTCAATGGGGCGGAACTGAAATGGGGGCAGTCTTCTGTAAAGTATGGCCTGTGTATGGAGTGATCCTCCTGTGTGTTCCCACACACTGCCCTTGGTCAATAGTATCTATCAGGCTTTCTTAGACTGTACAGAATCTCACCTTAGTCCATATGTTAGTTCCCATTTCATCAGAACCAACGGAGGAGGCAGAGAAAGAGGATCTTAGGGTCCAGCTGAAGCGACACCACCCCTCCAGTCCTCTGCCTGGCAGTAAGACCTGCAAGCGACCAAAGATCAAGGTGTCCCTTATCTCCCAAGGGGACACCCCTTCCCAAGGAGGTGCCGAAGGTGAGTTTCTCTAGCCCATTTAAATCCAGACAGCTCAGCCTCTGCTTCAGTGTGAGAAACCTGGAGCAGAAGCAGTACATTTAGAGTTAAATGGGCAGTGATTTCCAGGGGACCAAGACCAGGAGGCAGGAAACCAGAGGATGTTGTGGGATCATCAGAACATGATACATGTATGTCAGTGTGTTGGTTTCAAGTAGGTAAAATATTCCAGAAAAGTTTGAAATTGGAAAAAGTCACTCTAACTCTCCCTCCTCTAACATGGTTATTTTTGTTTTTATTTTTTGTCTTTAAGTCCTTGTCCCTGATATATTGTATTTAACTGGGGCTGGTGGAACCTGGAAAAGTAGGAGCCAAATAGCTCTGAGTGGTGTGTCTTACAGCTTTCTATTTGCAGTTGCAGGAGGGAAACCCATCACCATGACACTAGGACAGGCTTCAGCAGGGGCCAAGGAGCTCACCGGACTGCTCTCCACAACCAGGTGAGTCTTTCCTTGGTTGTTGTCATCTCTTGCCTTCTTGCACGTCACTCCTTTTCTGTCTCATGTAGTGCTTTGGAAAGATGATAGCTTCTGGAGTCTGTCATTTGTGCAAATACAAATTCTTTCTGTTTGAAGATTTTGTATTGCTTTTGGGTCAGTTCACAGTTCTCTTGGCTCTTGCCCTAAGACTTGAGGGCTTTACTCTAGATCTGACTTTTAACAGATTGAGTTCAGGAGGTGGGACAGACCTTGGGTCCAGTGCTAAAAGCCTTGCCATGCCTCACTCTGGTCCCTTCCCTGTGTTGCTAGGATCTATAATCCTCTGCCCTTTGGATGAAGGAGCTCCTTTCTTTATCTGCAGGTCAAGTGCTTCTGAAGGTGGAATCGCAGCTGGCCCAACCCCCTCAATGGTCTCCAGCAGCACCACACCCAGCACCTTGCACACACTCCAGAGCCGACTGGTGGCCACCTCTACAGGCAGCTCCCTCCCAGGTATCTTCTAACCCAGCATTCTGCTTTCCTAGCAAAGTCCTTTTACACTGCTGCTCGGGGGTGGTACCAGGCCAGTAGGCACAGAGGCTAACATGGAGCTGGAATTAGTTTAAGTTGGGAAATTTGTTGGCCTTGATGCATAAGTAAGTGAATGTCCACAGTCTGCAGGGGCTCTATATTATACTTAGAAGGAGGGGAAGCAGTAGTTAATGGGAAATGTATGTGTTGTGTTCCATTTTGGTGTATTAAACACATCTGACTGAAGAAAATTGGTAGTGGTAGTATACTGGACTTTAGCAAAAGCAAGACACTTTTCTTTCTGTGTGTTTCTTGCTTTCTCCGCTACCACCTCACCATGCCCCATTACAAGCCTTCTTGCTTCAACCCAGCTGGGTCAGGCATCACAGATACCCTTCTGCAAGAGACCTTTCCTTTTGATTTTGAGGCACCTGGACTGTGTGTGTAAAGTGGAGTGTAAGTCAGACACTTGGAATTCTTCTGGCTTCCTCTTCCTGGGAATTAGAGGATTTAAATTGGTTTCTTGGAAAGTGTAATTTGGGCTCTCTTGAGTTTGCCTGAAGTGTAGTCCTGATGGTTTGGAGCAGAGTGAATCCCAAGGTGGTGTCCTAGTTCAGTGCTTTTCTTCATGGGGCAGCCAGTGTGTATGTGCCTGGAGAGACCTTTTTGGTGTTTCTCTAGAGAGTTAAGCAATGCCCAAGAGCATTGGGGTTGTAGTCAGTGATAACGGTAGACAAACATGGCTGCTCTTGGGATGCATGCTAGTGATTGAGCTTATTATGTCCTCTCCTAGGGGCTACATCAGCCAGCAGCCTTCTCCAAGGCCTCAGCTTCAGCTTGCAGGATATCAGCAGCAAGACCTCTGGCCTCCCTGCAAATCCTTCCCCAGGGCCCGCTCCACAGGTGCACATCTGCCTTCCACTGGGCTGGGCAGGCATAGGAAGGAGGCCTCCTCAGTTTAGCTGATCTTTGCAGGGAGACTGGGTCTGGAGTCAGAGGGTCCATGCCAAACAGCCTTCTATCTGCACAGCTAGGGAGCTACCAAGAAATCAGGTTCATCACTTACTGTGTGACCTTAAACAAGTTTCTTGACCTCTCTTTGTTTCCTTGTCTGAAATTCCCTCATGGAATTGCTGTAAGCATTTCTTAAGGTAATCTATGTAAAATGCCTGGAAGAGTACCTTGCATGTAATAAACAATCAACACATGTTAGTATTTAATATGCTATGGGCCCTCCAAACTCGAACGTTGCTGTTGGGTGACAGACAGCTTCTGATCACCTGGGCTTGTGTGTCCCACAGGCCACCAGTGTGAAGTTGCCCACCCCCATGCAGAGCCTGGGTGCCATCACCACGGGCACCAGCACCATTGTCCGTACCATTCCTGTGGCCACCACTCTCTCCTCCTTGGGTGCCACTCCTGGTGGGAAGCCCACAGCCATCCACCAGCTGCTGACCAATGGGGGCCTCGCTAAGTTGGCAAGCAGCCTCCCTGGCCTGGCTCAGATCTCTAACCAAGCATCAGGTGAGTCTCATGAGAACTGTGGGGACTCCCAGATATGGGATCTTCCCCGAGGACCTTCCCATCTCATGTGGGCAAGGTCTGATGTGCAGACCCATCCCCTAGAGAGGTCGAGAGGACACAGGCTGTTTCCTGTTGCCTTTCAGATTGACTGATAGGGTGCAGCTGACCCAGCTGGGGAGGAGGCCAAAATGGGTGTGTTACGTGGGGGAAGAAAATCTCCAGAAAACAAAAGCTTTAACAGACAGCAGAGACTGGGACCAGAAAATCTTGCTTGTCTGTCTCTCTCAGGCTTGAAGGTCCCCACCACCATTACACTGACTCTGCGTGGCCAGCCAAGCAGAATTACCACACTGAGCCCTATGGGCTCAGGAGCAGCCCTATCTGAGGAGCCCACTTCCCAGGTGCCACCCTCCAGCTCTCAGGTGAGTCGACCTGGAAAGACAGAGGGTATGAGCTCCAACGTGGGGAGAGTCTGGGGTTGGTCAGTTGGCTGATCTAAGGGAGCTGCTGTTGCACTGACTTTATAGGCAGACTAATTTTAAATCCAGACTCTGGGATTTGTAGCTTTATATCCTGAGCAAGCCCTGGGCCTCCTTGAATTTCTTCTATAACACTGCCCTGGATGTTGTGAGGATTAAATTTGTAAATGTCTTCAAGTGTGGAGTAGCACCTGGTTTGTAGTGGCTTTTCTCTCTCCTTTTCTGTTTCATCACTCATCAGTTATAAGTGAATCTTGTAGCTCATATTTTTTTCTTTGACTTCCTGGTTCTTCACTATGTCTTCCCAGATTTTCCTGTTGTTGTCTTTTTATAGCACAGCTTGGCTTTTAAACCTGTTACTGTCAACAAAGACCTCATCAGTTCATTTTAGCTCATCTGATTTCCATTGTGACCTCCCAATTAAAACGTAATCTTAAAATGTAATCTGAGGAGCCACCCAAAGATGAAGATTAAATAAAACAAACAGTTTGAGCCTAGTAAAAGTTTACTGCTGTTTCAAACCAGGCCTTGCTACGTATGGGCTAGCACTGTGCAGTCTGTGTGACTGAAGGCTCCGAGTCCCAGTCCTCCCTGCCACCCCGAGTCTCCTGGGAACGAAGTCAGGCTCTACTGCCAGGGTGTAGTTCCTGAGCCATTCTCCGTGCTCTTCTGTCTCTTCCTCTTTAGGGGGAAAACACTTCCCATTCATTAGGATCAAAACTACTATTTGTGAAAAACTGGAGCTGTTTCTATTTCCGTTTTTCGATTACACAAATTATTGTGCTCATTTTAAATTACTCACACATTACAGAAATAATAGACTTAAGAAAGTGAAGATTTCCCTTGATGCTACTACCTGGGGTGATACTTGCTATGGACCTTTTCAAATTCCTCTTCCCACAGAAGTATATATACACACACATACTGCTTTTGGGCAGAAGTGCATGCATGAACTCCTGTAACTAGCCTGCTTTATGAATCATGACACGTTTGTTGAGTGGGCAGCTGTTGAAAGTTGAGGCATGTTTTGGGTGTTGATGTAAGGAGTGCTGCAGTGAACGCCCTCGCTCACGATTGTTGGGTTGCTCTGGAGCATTTCTGTAGGCTGGAGACCAGCAAGTGGAAGGTCTGAGTGTCTGACACTGGCCGTCTGCTGATTGCCCTTCCAGCAGTTGCTCGTAGTTCTAGCAACAGTGATGAGAACAACTGTTTTCCTACACCTTTGTCAATTGTGAAGCATCTGTGTTTTTTAATTATATTAATTTGATGGGTGAAAATGTATATTTTCCTCATTACTTAGGAAGTTGTAGGTTATATGACTTCATTGTCATGTTTATATGTCTATCTTTTATGAAGTATACAAGGTGCAATATACTGTAGAGTTTTAGTGGCGTTTTTTTTCCCCCTTTGATGTTCTGAGACTTTTGTTTTTTAACTTTTTTTTTAAAAGATTTATTTATTTTTATTGGAAAGTCAAATATATAGAGAGAGGAGGAGAGAGAGAGAGAGAAAGATCTTCCGTCTGATGATTCACTCCCCAAGTGACCACAATCTCCGGTGCTGAGCCAATCCAAAGCCAGGAGCCAAGAACTTCCTCCAGGTCTCCCACACGGGTGCAGAGTCCCAAGGCTTTCCCAGGCCACAAGCAGGGAGCTAAATGGAAGTGGAGCTGCTGGGATTAGAACTGGCGCCCATATGGGATCCCGGTGCATCCAAGGCGAGGACTTTAACCACTAGGCCATGGCGCCAGGCCCTTTTAATTTTTGTTTTTGCATATTTTATCATAAAGAAGTTTAATTATTTTGTATAATGAAATCTCAAATACTTCTGTTTATGGCTCCAAAATTTTATATCCTAAGAAAGCTGTTCCTATCACAAGAATATCTGTTTGTTTCCTTTTTCTAATTTTAATTGTGGTAGACTATAACATACAACACACTGTTTTAGTCCTGTTTAGTCAAGCAGTTCAAAGCATTAAGTGTGTTCATGTCAACATGCAACTGGCATCACCATTCCTCTCCAGATTTTTTGTCGCCACATACTAAAACTGTTTTTATGTTTTCTTACAAAGCATTTGTTTTCTTTAGTTCCCTAATCCTCTTCCAGCTCATATTTGTGTGCTAAATGTGGGAAAGAGGTCCTTCCTGTACACTTTTAAAAAACTACATTCATGGTCTTGTTTTTTTCAGCTTGACCTGTCTCTTGCCACATTAGCTTTGTTATTTGATAATGCTCTTGTAAGGAAGTGATGAATTCTGTTTCTAGCTTGCTGAGATCATCTTCATTCTTGGACTATCTTTTGATAACTAATGTGTTTTGAATTTTGTTCATTGCCCTTTTATAATCAAATGAAATGAGTAAGCTTTAATGTTTCCTTTGACTCAGTTACAAAGGTGAATTGCTTACTACATTTTCTAATGTCAGACTAAATTCTAGATGAAGGGATTTATTTAGTAGTTCATATTTTCTTTTTGTATATCACCTAATTTATTTTTATTGTGCAAGCAAAGAAAGCAAGACTTTTAAAAAGAGCAAGGGGCAGCTGTTGTAGCCAGGAGGAAAGATAGCAGTTGGAGCAGTCACGTCCTACGTGGGTGTGGCTGGCTTTTGGCCCTGAATCTGCTCGGCTTCTGTCTTCCTGCTGATACACACCCTTGGGAGGTCGCAGACAGTCAGGTCATTGAGTCCCTGCGACTCATGTAGGCGACCTGGACTGAGTTCCCAGTTCCTGGCTTTGGCCTAGTACAATCTTGGCTGTTGCAGGCATTTGGGGACTAAACCAACAGATGAGAACATGCTGTCTCTGTTTCTGCAGTATATAAATTATTTATTCTTCGTTTAAAGAAATATAGAATGAAAAAAAGAAACTGTTTTGGAAAAGAAATATCCCCACTTTTTTTTCTCTTTTAAATTTGGTTTTAATTTACTCAAATGTTTGGTCTCTGTTTATTAGAAATATTGGTCTGATTTTCCTCCATTCACAAGTGTGAGTGCACTTGTGTGCACACGCATATGCATACATTTCCCTTATTCAGTTTATGTAAAACTGGTAATTATGTTCTTGTAGAATGGGATGGGAAGTGTTTATTTTTTTACTCATTCTGTAAGACAATTATACATTATGGAAATGGCCTGTTCATTGGTGGTTTGAGGGGCCTATATAGGTCAAGTCATTCTTACCTTTGATGAGCCCTGCTGGTGACAGAACATAAGATTTGCCCAGTGGTGCCTGGCTGCTCCATCGGGTGGTCCCCCTCTCTCACTGTTGCAGGGGGGTTGAGGAGAGGGGAGCTGAGAGAGAGGACAGAGACCGCGGAGAGTCCTCTGTTTCCATGACTACATGGAAGCACCGAATAGTGAACTAGGCCTGGCCTTCTGCCTGGCAGTGTTCACACCAGAGATTCGTTTTCATCTTGCTCAAGTGGGTGTGTGATTCATGTCTAACAGGTGTTGTTAGGCAAAGGCTTAGCTGACTCGAAAGCCTGGAATGCTTGCCTCAGGGTTCAGACTGCCAGACAGTGTGTTGCTGAGGAAGAGCAGTAGCTGGGCCCTTGTCTGTGTGCATATGATCCAGGCCAACTCACCTCCCCACTCTGGAAATTGGTTTTGCCATCAAGTGTAGCAAGAAAGTTGGTTTATGTTGGTGATTGTTGTAATGGCAATGTTAGTAGTGGTTCCATTTTGTCAGGCTTTAGAAACACAAGTATTCAGTACTGAGAAACCACCACTTCAACATTTGGGAGACCTTTGGAAATTTGAACACCATGTAGTTGCTCATATTAAGGAAATTTTTTTTAAAGATTTATTTATTTTTATTACAAAGTCAGATATACAGAGAGGAGGAGAGAGAGAGAAGAAGATCTTCCATCCGATGATTCACTCCCCAAGTGAGCACAACGGCCGGTGCTGTGCCGATCCGAAGCTGGGTACCAGAAACCTCTTCTGGGTCTCCCACACGGGTGCAGGGTCCCAAAGCCTTGGGCCGTTCTCAACTGCTTTCCCAGGCCACAAGCAAGGAGCTAAATGGGAAGTGGAGCTGCTGGGATTAGAACCGGCGCCCATATGGGATCCTGGCGCGTTCAAAGTTTCTTCTTTATTTCTCATTGGAAAGGCAGATTTACAGAGAGACAAGAGAGAATGTTCTTCCATATGCTGGTTCACTCCCCAAATGATCAGTGGCTGGAGCTAAACCAGTCTGGAGCCAGAAGCCTCTTCCAGGTCTCCCACAGGGTGCAGGGCCCCAAGGTTTTGGACCAAGCTCTACTGCTTTCCCAGGTCACAAGCAGGGAGCTAGATGGGAAATGGAGCATCCAGGATATTAACCAGCACCCATGTGGGATGCTGACACTTGGAGGTGGAGGAATAGCTAGTTGAGCCATCATACCAGTCCCAATTGTTTACTTTTTTGTGTGGCAATAATGTGTAAGTTTTAAATGCCCTTTTATATTTTGGAATTACATGCTATAATATTTATGAGTGGAATACATTTAAAAATTTTTATAAACACCAGACTTCCTAAGGCCTATAAATGCACTTAAATCTCTGTTGTTTCTGGCACTGGTTAGTACACCATGTGTCTTCTTCATGGGAATGCACTTTTGAATATCCCTACAATGGAACAATTATGGGGAAAAAATGACACAGACCATGTTTTGTCACGCACTCAGTGTCTACACTTAGATTTAACCTTGTCACAGCTCTCTCCTCCCTATCCTCTTGGCTACACCATGACCTTGTTAGGCTGGCAGGCAGCCCTCTAGCTGCCAGCCTGTGACGGGGGCCTCACTGCCGCCTTATGGCTGCCTTAGGTCACCACATCCAAGTGATCCAACCAGTGGGCTCAGGGGTGCGAGTGTTTTTAATCAGGACAGAGTAATCACCTGTGCACAGCCTTTCTTCATTGCTCCCTTCTTGGACTCTCCTGCCCCTGCCTTCTACACTCATATGAGCCTCTTTTTCCAAGGATGAACCTACATTACTAAAGAAAGTCCTGGTGAGAAAACTCCAGCCCTCTCTGCTTTGCTTCCTTCTTCCTAAGCTGCAATGCCCAACAATTTTTGACACCCTCCATTCGCCTACAAGACATCCAAGAACTTTAAAAATATTGTCGGAGCGTTCTCCTCTGTCACCCTTGACAACCCACCTGTTTCCTCTTCTCTGCATATCCTTCCTGTCCTTGTGCATGATGTAGCAGCTGACCTTGTGGTGGGACAGATACTACATTCCAGGTGCTTTATGGGAGTTGTCTCATTTAATCTTCACAATGGCCCTGGGCAGTTGATGCTGTTGTCTGCATCCCACACATGTGGGAAATGGCTCGGAAAATCTCAGCTACTTGCTGTTAAGTGGTTTGGTGAGTGACTCCAAAAGCTAGAGTCTGTTAATCGCTAGATTGCAGGAATACACATGTCCTCATACATCCAGCTTCTTTCCTGTTGAGTTACTTCTTTGGAATAAATTCTTAAAAGAGTTGGGTGATAGGTCAGAGGGGCTGGATGTGAAGTCTTGGCAAAGCTTTGACCTTTTTCACTGCCTCTTCTGCCATAGCGCCTGCCTCCAGCACCCTGAAGATGCTGTGTGATATATCTTCCTTACCAGTTGGTGATGGCCTCACGGTGGGCCCTGGGCACATATGTGGTCCTGCTGAGCTGTCCAGGTGTCTGAAGACCTCTCTAAGACAGTCATTTTTGCTCTCTGCCAGCTGTCTTCAGGCTGGGCCTCTGGGTCTTACAAAACGTCGGTCTAAGAGATTATGCACCCATCAGGGGAGCAACACCCTCCAGGATCTGCAAGTCTGGTTCCTACAGTCTCCAGCGTCCTTTGTAGATCTGGCTGTGTATGGGTCATAGGCACTCCACCCCCTCCATCAGCTGTGATTTCACCCAGGTGTCACTGTGGAGAGGCTTATTGAGTCTGGTAATGAATTGTCCTTTTGGAAGGCTGTCCTCTGAGCATGCCCAGCTGGAAGGAGAAAACCACGTGCTCTGAGCTGTAGGTGTCATTGAGATTGAGAACTTGGGTCATCTTGGCCCACAGCTGCTGGTTCCAGACCAGGAGGGCTTGTTGTGAGAGCCTCACTGTGGCCTTCACTGGCAACCATGGAAAACTCCCTCAAACCACATCAGACATCGAGCGACCTGCCACTCTAGATTGTGATCAGCAGTGGTACCAGGAAGAGAAAGTGGACCCATTTCTTTTTTTTACTATGCTCTGAGAGGCTCCTGTATCCAGAGAGCCGGCAGTTCCAAAAGCTGAAGAAGAGGAATGGACAAGAAGAGGCATTTGTGGCAGGTCATGCCAGGGAGTCCTCCACAGGAACCTCTAGGCATGGGATTCAGGTTGAGGCACCTGAGGAACTGGTGAGCTGGTGATGAGAAGTAGAATTTTCCAAGTCAAAGGGAAGAAACTCCAGTCCTCAGAAGTCCTGTCTCCAGTGCCTGGAGGTGGAACAGTGGCAGACGGTTGAGCTGATGTCCTTGCTGGCACAGGAAGCTGAGAGGGCATCAGGAGGACAAAGGCTACACTTCAGTGTTTATTCCTCAGAATTTTAATCTTCCTCTTTCAAAGTGGGAAGATTACTGGCAGTGACTCTACTATGTAGGGCTCTTGGTAGCAGCCTAAGCCCTGTAGGTTACAGTGCCTGGAAGAGGGGTCAGTGAGGAACTCTGACCCTTCCGCCTTACCTAGTCACAACACTTGTATGCAAAGGTAGTTTTAGGTTTGCTTTGAACATGTCCCCTCCAGAGCAGAGTGTTTCAAGTCAAGGTGACAGGTTAAGTAACCCGGGTGTGGCTCTGTATTCTAGATAAAGCCTGCCCGTAATATGGCTCAAATTGGAGTCCAGGGTTCTGACCCACAGTGCAGTGTATATCTATTTCAGGTTACCTGTGTGCAACCCAGGGGCCTCACATGTGATCTGAGTGGCAGCCAGGAGAAAGGAGTGAGCTGAGGAGTCTCAGCAGGTCATAGTGTTAGGAGTGAGGAGAGGTGTGTGTGTGAGAGAGAGAGTGGGATGGAGGGGTACAGGTCACAGTGTTAGGAGTGAGGAGAGGTGTGTGTGAGAGAGAGAGAGAGAGAGAGAGAGAGAGAGAGATGGGATGGTGGGGTACCAGAAACACCACACCTTCCCTTGCTGACCTGCAGAGTTGGTCTCTGTGGTGACTCACTCACACAGAACTAGGCTGCACTTTCTGAATCATCTGTTAAGTAGCTGCTTTCTGAAATTCAGGAGGCACTTAGTGAATTTGAGGAAGCTATGAAATCTGCAAGAGACCTCCAGGGCTTAGGAGTTTTGATAGCTTTACAGACAGGAACAAAACAGTCGAGAGTGGCCTGTGAGGCTCAGTGAAGCTCTGAGAAATCTCAGAAGATCCTGAACAACCCAGGATGTAGGAGAGCAGCCTGGGCAGTGCTGGGGAACTGCTCTGGGGAGATGCTAGCCCAGTATGTGCTGGGACCAAAGGAAAACAACACATGATCCTACTTTTGTGGCTAATCCTAGTGTACTTCCCCTGAGTGGGTAAGGCTGTACGCTTTGAAGACTTCCACACCTGGAAAAGGGGAGCTGCGAGAGCAACTGGTGGCTCTTCACTGTGGAGGCACGAGCTAATGGACATGGCAGAAGTCATAGAGTTGTGTGTTACCCAATTCCCTTCTCAAACCACACTGCTTGAAATGTGAAAGGAAGCTTTACCTGTCTCATGGCAGACCTGGAATCTGACCTTAGAAGGTGATGCTGTTGCTGGAAAATATAGAAGGATCAAGCAGTCTTTAAATTTTTGGATGATAGAGCATGTTCGTGCCCTATGGAAGATGCTCTTGGGCTTGGAGAAGAGATCACTGAGAGGAAGACCTTCTGTTCATTCCTGGTCCCACCACTGGACTGGGCTTGGGTGGGCAGGCCAGAGTGGAGCTCCAGGGATGGTGGTTCTTATGTTAGCCAAAATAAAATTTTGAAAAAACCCAATTTTGGGATTGCTTCAGCATATTTTCACTTGACTTCTCACGTTTATTCTGGTACCGACCCAGGGGAAAGGGGCAGAGAAGATGCAGCTAAGATGTAATGCTAGTGGTGCTGAGTGGAGGTGGACACTGGGATTCCTTTTCTTACAGGTGAGGAAACCGAGGGGTAGAGGAGTCACTGGGTAGGAGGTAGCAGAGCAGGGCTGGACCCAGGCACTTAGAGCCAGGTTCCTGCTCTGCACCCTGCTGGGGTTCTGTGATTGGAGCCTGACGGTGGAGAATAGCCCAGGAGAGGAGGTGCAGATGTGGTCCACTTGTGAATTATGAAAGGCCAAGGGTGAGAGACGCAGATGCAGCCTCTTACTCTTGAGAGATTGGTGCCCCTTTGCACATCCCATTCCCCTTTACTGAATATAGATAGATGCTTGGGGATGGATGATTTTGAACATCTAGGTTTTTGGTGAATTTGTGTCAAGAAAACCTTCTGATCCTTAAATTCCAGGTCCGTATACTTGATAGTGGAATCCTGTGTTCTGGTGTCCTACAGGGAGTATCTGGTACACCTAGGGTTATCCTAGCCATCCTTATAACACTTTCCATCCCTCAGGTTTCTGTGGTTCCAGTGAGTCTGATGAAAAAGACAGATTAAATGATAGCTGCCTTACACTTGGAAGGGAGAGGACCTTAGGAAATTATGGTGCAGGAAGTCTGTTTTCATCTTTTTGTCTTAAGATTTATTTACGTATTTGAAAGGCAGAGCTACAGAGAGAAGACAGGGAGAGAAAAGATCTTCCATCTGCCCACAGCAGCTGGAGTTGGGCCAGTCCAAAGCCAGGAGCCAGGAATTTTCCAGAATCCACATGGTACAAAGCCCAAGCACGCAGTCCATCTCTGCTGGTTTCGCAGGCACATTAACAGGGAGCTGCATTGGAAATGGAGCAGCTGGGACTCAAGCAGGTGCCCACATGGGATGCTGGCACTACAGGCAATGACCTTACCCACTAGACCACAGAGGTGACCGCTTTTATCTCCTTTTTTAAGTATAAGTTTTAGACAGGATTGGTGGTTGCAAACAGCAAAATAACTGGAAGGGTGGATCTCAGACATGCTGTTAGCACCAGTGTTGGCTGCTTGTCCCATGGCTTCAACTGACTTGGACTTGCTGGGAACCAGTTTTCCTTCTGTTAGGAATTTTCAGCTGCAGAGTTCCTCACAGGTGGCTGCTCTGACAACTATGAAAATGCCTGACTCAGACCACTTCTGGGTTGTTAAATATCCTTGAGTTCTTTAACATCTTTGCCAATTTTCTCTAAAGATGTTCTGTCAATTGTTGAGCAAATTATATTGAAATATCCAACTATAATTGTAGAATCATCTGCGTCAGTATTTGCTTCACACATTTTGTAGTTCTGCTATTTTGTACACATGTATTTAGGATTGCTGGGTTTTTTGGTAGATATTATATAATGCTCTTCTGTGTTCCCCCTCGTTTTCTCTGTCTTAAAGTCATATTCAGGGCCTGGCGCAGTGGCCTAGTGGCTAAAGTCCTTGCCTTCAATGCGCTGGGATCCCTTATGGACGCCGGTTCTAATCCCAGCAGTTCCACTTCCCATCCAGCTCCCTGCTTGTGGCCTGGGGAAACAGTTGAGGACAGCCCAAGGCTTTGAGACCCTGCACCCGTGTGGGAGACCTGAAAGAAGTTCCTGGCTCCTGGCTTTGGATAGGCACAGCACCAGCCATTGAGCTCACTTGGGGAGTGAATCATCAGATGGAAGATCTTCCTCTGCCTCTCCTCCTCTCTGTGTATCTGACTTTGTAATAAAAATAAATAAATATTTTTAAAAAAAGTCATCTTCATCTGATGTTGGCATAGTTGCTCTTGCGTTTTTAAAAATTATTGTTGCTTGTATATATATATTTTTTAATTTATTTTTATTGGAAAGTCAGATATAGAGAAAGGAAGAGAGAGGAAGATCTTCCATCTGTTGATTCACTCACCAGGCAGCTGCAGCGGCAGAAGCTGTGCCAATCTGAAGTCAGGAGCCAGGAGCCTCTTCCAAGTCTCCCACGTGGGTGCAGGGTCCCAAGGCTTTGGGCCGTCCTTGACTGCTTTCCCAGGCCACAAGCAGGGAGCTGGATGGGAAGTGGGGCTGCTAGGACACAAACCAGTGTCCATTGGATCCCGGTGTGTGCAAGGCAAGGACTTTAGCCACTAAGGCTATAGTGCCGTGCCCTGCTTGTATATTTTCTTTATTTAGCCTACCTATATCATTACATTTCAAGTGTCTTATAGACTGATTGCAAATAGCATGATTTTTTTCCTCTGCTGATCTTTGTATTTTAATTGGTGCTTTTAGGCTTTCCATTTTGTATAATTGTAGAAATGCTTGCGTTTGGGCTGCCATTTTATTTTTTGTTTTATGTTTCTATATTTTCTATTTTCTTTCAAGTGGATTACTTGAACAGTTTTTTTTTTTTTCTTGAGTGTTTTTGAATGAATAGGTTATTTGAGTGTTGCTCTAGTTTGTAACATTAAGCAGAGGAAGAAAGCATCTGGCCCATGGGCTATAGAAGTCCTGTGAAGTCACTTAGTCTGGTCCTGCAACACAGCTGCAGGCAGGACTTGAAATTCAGTAAAGCTATAGATGGCTAGTGTTTTCTAAGTTGATAATTATGTATGGTTTATAACTGATGTTATAAATATCCAAACAAACTTTGATAGAAAAAAGGGTCCCCCACCCCTGCCGTTTGTGTACATGACTTTAGTCTACTGGTACCCGCGTCTTGTCAGCTTGAAGGACGTAGGAAGTCCCTCTCTCTCTTCCTTTACTCGCTCTCACTTTGGAAATGATTGTGCAAGTACTGTGAGACCTGTACCGCGGGCCCGGTGCTGTGGCCTAGTGGCTAAAGTCCTTGCCTTGAATACACCAGGATCCCATATGGGCACTGGTTCTGATCCCAGCAGCTCTACTTCCCATCCAGCTCCCTGCTTGTGGCCTGGGAAAACAGCAGAGAACGGCCCAAGGCTTTGGGACCCTGCACCACGTGGGAGACCCGGAAAGAGGTTCTGGCTCTTTGTTTCGGATTGGCGCAGCACCAGTTGTTGTGCTCACTTGGGGAGTGAATCATCGACAGAAGATCTTCCTCTCTGTCTCTCCTCCTCTCTGTACATCTGCCTTTCCAATAAAATAAATAAATACATCTTTTTAAAAAGATTCTATGTTTAAAGAAATTTATGGGCCCAGAGGCGTGGTCTAGTGGCTAAAGTCCTCACCTTGAACGTGCCGGGATCCCATATGGGCACCGGTTCTCATCCTGGCAGCTCCACTTCCCATCCAGCTCCCTGCTTGTGGCCTGAGAAAACAGTCAAGGACGCCCAAAGTTTTGGGACTCTGCACCCTCGTGGGAGACCTGGAAAGAAGTTCCTGGTACCCAGCTTCAGATCGGCGCAGCACCGGCCTCTGCGGTCATTTGGGGAGTGAATCATCAGACGAAGATCTTCCTGTCTGTCTGTCCTCCTCTCTGTATATCTGACTTTGTAATAAAAATAAATAATTCTTTAACAACAACAAAAAAAGATTTACTATATTTTTTGTTGGGAAATCATATATAGAGAGAGGAGGTCAGAGAGGAAGAACTTCTGTCCATTGATTCATTCCCCAAGTGCCGCAATGGCTCAAGCTGAGCCAATCCGGAGCCAGGAGCCAGGAGCTTCTTCCAGGTCTCCCTCGCGGGTGCAGGGTCCCAAAGCTTTTTGCCATCCTCAACTGCTTTCCCAGGCCACCCACAAGTAGGGAGCTGGAAAGAAAGCGGGGCTGCCGGGATATGAGCCAGCGCCAATATGGGATCCTGGCACATAGAAGCCAAGGACTTTAGCCACTAGACTACTTCACTGGGCTCAACAACTCTATTTTTAATGTTAAGTTTATTTGACTTTTAATATTATTTATGTAGTTGAGAAGGATGCATACCTGTGTGGGTCTCTGACTAG